ATCCTACAACAATGTAATGCTTCAGGCCAACTACAATACTTATTTCATTCTTTGGAGACTTGAGATTTGTCTTGGGGTTTGACTTACAATGACTTTATGCTTGTGTTGGACACTGCAAACATCCGCGCAGACATTTTTAAGACATCATGATTAATAAATGTTTATGACAAACAGATTTTACACATCCGTTAATCAATTTGACACTTTTTACATCTGTTGTACTGGACTGAAAAAGGCTGAAACTCAGCCAAGCTTCAAGTCAAAACAGGAAAAACTTCGCTCATGGGTGACATCTGCTCATTGAGCAAATATGGATTAGACTTTGACAAAGAACACTTAATATGGTCATGGCTTACAACGCGAGATGGCTTACAACGCAGAGCCCCTCTGAATGGGCTAAAGGTGAAGCCACTGATGTGTCACATTTATCTTCTTTTGGTGTCCGTTCCCTTTCCCTTGGCATCAGTCGTGAGATTGATGTCGAATGTAGTCTCATAGCCCCTTCCCCCCCAGGCAACTAAGTCCGTTGTACGTTCAAACCGTCTACAGGCAAAGGAAGTTCAAGTGTGTCAGGTGGCTAATCCTTGTGACACCTGCGGACTTAATCTTATTTAGACAACACGGCAATTACTGAAGCACACTTGAGAAAGATGATACTGTGTCTCCCTGTCTGCTTCGCTCACTGAGCTCCGCGGTTTGAGAGATAAATTGGCTGTCAGGTCTCAGAAAGCAGAGCTAATGACAGCTCTTTTCCAGCACTCCAAACTCAAGCAGCGACAGGTTTTCCTACTCTCTGCCTCGTCTTCATGTGTCCCTTTGAAAATTAGACGGAACCCATTCTTTGCTTTGAGTGCCGCTCCAAAACTACTTGTAGACGCTTGTTGGCACTTCAACCTCGAAATGTAAATAGCAGTTTGTCTGCGAGGGACAGGGTTTGCTGAGAGTCTTTTTGTGAAAATGGGCTTGGATCTGGGTTATCTGCTGCTACAAAGAAGCCAAAAAAATGTTGCTATGAAGCAAGAGCGATGCTTTGGTGAGGTATGTTGAACTCTGTCCGTAATGCCAAAAAGATGGAGAACTTTAAATCCGGCTTGATCAATATCAGCTGGAAGGATAACCTGCTTACAGATGACAGCAAAGCACACAGGAAGACACATTTACAAACAGAAAACCAATTTTAAGGCTCGGGATTATAAGATGATGTACTTTTACATTTGTTAATAGTGTGTTTTTGATTTCTCTGAATACATACATTGCTTGGTGAACTTTAATTTTGGCTATTGTTAGTGAACAATGTAAAAGCAGTATCACAGACATAAACAATTACCATATGCACTCATATAATACATATTTGGCCAAATGGTTGCCACGTGGAAAAAAGTAATACATAGATTCAATTACACAATGGCTTTTTGGAATTATAGTGCATTCCTGTCTGAATTTATATACATTTATATATGTACAAAAATAAAAGTAATTAAGTAGCAATTGTTCTTTTACCTTTAGCACATAAAATCTGCACACATTTAGATTTAAATTCAGACATACCTCAAATCACCAACATAATTTATATTTATTCAACAGTGATCAAAACAATGCATTTAATTACTAAATAGGGTCTTGAAATTTAATTGCGACATAAGTTTCTGTTATCCATCCTGATGCATAATCAATGAATTTTAAATCCAAGTTAAAGCAAAAAAAAATTACATTCAGATGTTGTTTACACTCTTACCACCAGATGGCAGTAACGTGCTTCCACATTGACGCTAAATGTGTGTTAGTTATGCATCAAACTGCATCTTAACTGCATCAAGACCAGAAGCGGTTTGAGGTGTAGCAGTCTAAAAGAGTTTAAATTGCTTATTTTCTATCTTTCTGTATCGGCTGTCCTTGCTGCAATGCTAACTTTAGCTTGTATGTTTTGCAAACAAGATGGACAGGTAGTCACGGTGAAGTTAGCTGTGTTACTTTCAATTACATTATTTGCTACAATCAGAACGCCCGCTAACAATACGCTTCCTTATGAAAGAAATTACGTTCTGCTGCTTGTATAAATTTGCTGTTAAACCGTTATACCCTTCAGTTACCACTATGAGGCACCGACAACCCCCAAATGCAACCTTATGATTCATGCTATTTGCTTTGGACGTTTGAAATCATTGGAACGATGTAATGCACATCTTAGATGCATTCACCATAACAAAACAAGTCAATACAAAATGTTACCGTAGTAACAAAAATGGTCCAGTAATACAATACCAAATGGTTTATTGAAATACAAACTGTCAAAAGTGTGCCATAAATTCTAGCTTTATAAATGTGGCAGAGATATTGAATATTTAGGTTAGGGTTGTAGAAGTCCAAGTTCAGAGAAAGTTCCAGATGATTTTAACTTGTAAATTCTCACTTTTTAAGATAAATGGAGTTTTAATGGTGGGTTTTTCACAAAGGCTACTTAATGGAATAATTTCAAATGAAACTGACCCATTTGTTCCAGTTCAGTCACATCATGTTTAACTCTAAAAGGAATGTTTCATTCATCGCTTCTGTTCCTAAATCAAACGTTCTCAGCTAACTGTGCCTAGGCTATATTCAGTCTGGAATTGTAACAATTATTTACCTACAAATGTTTTCTGTGATCTTATTATTCTTGGTCTCTTCTTCTGGTGAAGAACCTAAGGGAAAACTTGCCATCAGATGTAGAGTGGAACATCATGAACCTGCAGCATTAGCACATCTGTGACTCCCTGATGTTTTGTGTTGGAGTAAAACTGATAAGGAAAAAAGAATCTACATTTGTTCTCCGCTGACACAAATCCCAGCACACCCAGCAGCAGCACATGTTATCATCTGGCTGAGCTCGACCTTTGACCCGCCTCGGCCCCTGTACCATGTTGGTGATCAGGTCTGGGTGAAAGAATGCCTTCTGGAGCTTGCATGTGCGCAGAGGCTGGCTGCAGGAGGATGAGTTATATAGCTGTGAGCAGACAGATTGCGTTTTAAAGGAACTAAAAGAGAGTAAGAATTGGGTTATACGAACTGGAACATACATTTTAACCAATGACGTTATATCTGGAAAGACGACAACTATCTACAGTAGATGTCCATCTCTGAGGGAAGATCCCTGATATTTTAGCAGAAAAAATGCTGCAGTTCAGTAGACCATTAATTTTTTTTTTATTTTGTAGAATTTATATTAAAAAAACAAATTTTTTGCTAGCATTTGTTTAATAAATGACTTCTTAAACATGTTCTAAAATATTTCTTACCACTATTTAACAGCAGGCTGAATCAGTTACCTTACAGCAAGAAGGTCCTGGGTTCGAGTCTCAGCTTGGGGTCTTTCTGCTTGGAGTTTGCATGTTCTCCCTGTGCAGGCGTGGTTTCTCTCCAGGTACTCTGGCTCCCCCCCCACAGACTGTTAGGTTTACTGGTCTCTCTAAATTTCCATTAGGTACGAGTGTGTCTGTGTGGTTGTTTGTCCTCTGTGTTTCTGTGTTGCCCTGAGATGGACTGGCAACCTAAATGAGCCAAATGAAAATAAGCTCCCTTAAATTCAAGTGTATCCATTGATATTTATGGCACATTTCCTATCCCAGATTTTTGTAAAGCTTTGATAGGCAGACTGAGATCATTTTTTGTTTGTTGCCCCTAACATCAATAATGTAAAAATATTGGAAAAGTATTTGACACATTTGCTTGTCGCTGTCCTGCATTTGTCAGCCTAATAGTTTATATTGTGATCAGAAGCGACGTCACACTGTGTGAGTGAAAAACCAGTGGTTGTAAAAGTGTTTTTATTGCAAAACAAAGACAGAATTATAAGGGAGGATATTTTAAGCTAGCTTTATGTTTTCATTGGGAATTTGCACAATTAGCATTACCAAAACATTAGCTTTTTTGTGAATAGCCTCGCGAATGCCAATCCTGATGACAGTTCCATTTAATTCAAGTTTATTTAATCAAAGACAAACGTTGTCTTGTATGATGGCTTTCTAGCCACAAACAAAGATTTGCAAACAAAGTCCTCAGCTAAAAAGGAACCTACTGTTCAACCTTCCTGTTATCAGCTGAATGTCTTGCTCTCTCTCACTCTCTCGCAGCCTGAATGAGCTAAAGAAGTATTGTTTAAAATACAAATTCCTTCTAGATAGGCACTACCATCTGCACGCTTCTTCATAATTGCTATTAATTATGCCAACAACTCTGAAAATGACTACTTTCTTCACTCCTTAGCAGTGTTTACCACAAACAGTATTGTTGCTAGGCGACCTGGTAGCACTTAGTCCGATGTGATCCTGAACCAATCAAGCAAAGACCAGTAGCTGATTTTTTACTGAAATTTTTATGAACATTAATACCTTGTCAAAAAATTATATAGTTATTAAAAATATTTAACTTAAAAATATCTACTGTGACTTTCAGATAGTTTAGTTTAGCATAAAATTGAACCTCAGGCAGTGAAGATACATCACAATACAGCTTTCATTTGTCCATTTTTGACTTCTATGTTTTCTCAAATGTCAACAAAGTGTCAACTGATTAAGTTTAAATTTGGATCTACAAAGTTAATTGGGAAAAAAAAACAAACTTTTTTTTTTTTTTTTTTTTTACAGGCAATTTTGTGATAAAATGTAACAATACCAGGAACTGCAGCACTAAAACCTGGACCTCCTCTGAGTCTCTGTTGTGGGAAACATTCAAAAAGTCGAACTTGTTAATTGACTTTTCATCCTTAAAGTCAATTAACTTGACTAGTTTTTTATCTTGTTGATGCAATGGAAAGCCGGTAGGAGGCCAGTCAATTAAGAGGCAACGATAAGCGGTCACACACACATAAGTCTGTGTGTGTTTGTGCTCATGCATGCATGTGGATGTATTTTAGAGGGCAAAATGAGCACAAGTGAATGAGGGAGGGAGCAAGAGAGAGACAGAGAGAGAGACGGTGGTGGGGGGTAGACCCTCTAACTCCAGACAGATGTAAACCAAAGTCAGGGAGTTTCAGTCCGAGCCGGACCGTCGAGTCCGGTGTGTGTGAATCCGCGTGAGAGTCTCTGGGTGCTGCGTCAGTTTCTTTCTTTTTTTTTTTTTTTTTAATTATCACTCCTGCATGCTCATTCAGACGAGGAAGGGATGAGGGAGAGAGAAGAGCTCAAGCAAGCCAAGGAGCAGAGCGAGTTGCTCCTGTCCAGAATCCATGAACTTGAGGAGGAGAACAATCAACTTAACAAGGAAAAGAATGAGGTGATCACCAAATGCCAAGTCGTAAGTCTCCACTGCATTGTTGTTGTTTTTCTTCTTCTTCTCATTATCTCTAAACGATTTCCCGAGGGGGGATTAAACTGACGATACTTTAGGAGTCATTATTGGTGATTACATCTAGGTTTTCCGCTTGATAAAGAGTTTTCGACATGATCATTGGAGCAACTATTAGGAAGGTAATGATACCCTGAGAGGGATGCTGCTGCTGCTGCTGCCATGGCAGTGGCTATGAATCTCTTAATGCTGTGGTTGCTACCACTTGCTTTCACCATTTTCCATCACCTAATTGTGAGAGCAGGAAGAGAAAGTATTTTTCTAACAGCAGCGCATTAAAGCGTCGTGCTGTTTCCTGGCCTTAAGCTTAGCTAGTTTGTGAATGTTTTATTTACTGTGCGGTAGATGCTTTACCACAATGTCAATAGAAGAAAAAAAACAAAAAAACACCTGAGGTTCTTGTCTCACCATAAATGCTGTAAATGTAACTTAATCACCCTAAAACACAAGGATTGATTACAAACTGTGTCCGTACCTTTATATTTGTATTTAGTGATGGTCTCCATGAAGTTAATGGAGTCTTTGCATCCTCTTTGGGTGGCATTCTCTTTGAAAAGAAGGTAGGAAGTAAATGCAGTGCAGCAGCGGTAGTAGTAGTGCGAGGCATCTGTTTTCTTTTAAGCCAGCACAGCATCAACACTGAATCCATCAAACGTTGCTGAACAGGAGCTGTGGATGAACACGAGATGATTCCATCTCTAGAAACATGTAATTAAAGCAGATCTAATACCGAGTGAACGATTTAAAATAATTAAATTCAGGTGTTCCAAACAAATCAGCGGTGTAATGTAGCAAGTTAGCTGGTGAGATTCCCTCACTTCTAACCATTCAATGCAAAGCGTTGGTGGTATTATGACACATTTTAAGCTATTGGAAACAATTGGAGAACTTCACTGTAAAGATTTCCACGATAAACCTGCCACATCCAAATCTTAGATAAACTAGTATGCAAAGTGTTGGTTGTCGAAGTGTAAACAACATCACCTCTGGACCGTGTGTTCCTCCCAGTGAACCAGTCTGGGGTTGACAGTTTCCATTAGAGTGGCACTGGTCTCACTATGTTTCTGTGTCAAGTGTAAAGGCTGATGCATAGGTGTTTATAGTGTGGCGCCGGTTTTCGGTACTTGGACTTTCCCCATTAGTTCAATTGAAAGGAACTCTAAGTGTCTCGGCACATAAAGATGTTTTGGACAACTTCATGCAACCAACTCTGAGGGGAACAGCTTGGGGGTGATGCCAGCATGGCTGCACCAGTACGTCAGTGGATTGGCCTTGACATAGCACCTTCTGGATTCAAGTTTGTTTGGCAGCAAATATGGATTGTGGTTTCGTTTACAAAGACCCAGTCAATCATGACTACTCAACTGCCTTTACACTTTGACTCACATTCATAGTCATTTGTACCCCTGTGAAGAGGTCGGTAGGCAACGTGTTGTTTTGCCAATGAAAACGGTGGAAAGGAGCTGCAACCAAACTCACATTCCCTCCCTCTCTTGATGCAAATAACATTTTAAAGGTTTGTGGTCACTACCTTTCCAGCTTCTGTGGTTTTCCAGTAGTCCCACTGTAGGTTGTAAAATCTAAAAAAGGTATTCAACTTTCATACTTTAGGAAAAAAAAAAGCGTTAGAAGTTTCTGGATCTAAAGATTCACATGCTAAGTTTTCTTTAATCACACAACCTTTGAGCAATCGGAGCTCTACAAACGAAAAATGGGACGGATTTCGGTTTCCAAAGTTAGAATTGACTCAACCACCGAAGTAAAGCTTTTCTTCTGCTTTCTAGAGCATTTTGATTATTTATTCACAGGTAATAATTGTTTCATAGTCAACTACTGAACCAACAATGAATGAAACTGACTACAGCGAACCATTGAATGTGTTTCTAACAGGTCTGAACCAAGCATGGAAAATCAATCATTCTGTTCAAAATAAAAAATACTTCATTAGGTAGATCATTTGCTCTTCCAAAATGAAGCCCAAAGTTAATTTTCATAATAAAAGTCTCAATTTCTAAAACTGTAGATCGCTGTCAAAGTATTAACTAAACAATGACCAATTGAAAATCTTTTTTTGTCATCACTTGAAAATAAACCTCAGATTATTTTCAAAATAAAAGTAAAACTGCAGGATCCACACATTAACTGGTCTACACCAAGAACAATAAAATCTGTTAAAATGAATGCTAATACTTTGACATATTGGTTCAATGCAGTGAATTAAATAAATGTTGAATATTCCCAATAGACTTTTTCAGAAAATATTTTTATTGGTATTACTATTATTATTATTGTAGTATTTTTATTTATCTTGATCTCTTTATAAACTCTTACAGTATAAATACAAGTTTGTTTTTTCCCCCGAATTTAGACACAATCAGTAGAAATATTGACCTCAAATTAGGTTCAGATGCCATGTAATTTCTTTCCTCTTGCATTTTTTATGCAAACTCCAAATGAACATTATTTTTCTGCTCCGTCACATAAAATATCCAGGAGTTTGTGCTTGTAATTTGACAAAATGTCAGATAAATAAATAAAATTAAGGGTTGCAAATACTTTTGATGATCAGCATAACCTGCAATTTATTTATTTTTTTGTGCTTTTTTGTTGACAAATTGGGCTGAACTATTCGAAGAGAAAAGCATCCAGATAAATTAAAAATCTTTATTTCTTTTTTTTTCTACCAACCGCAATATCGTTAAAGATTTAGAAACTGAAAACCTATTAATAAGTTATTTATTAGGAAAATAACGAGTGTCTCCAGAGAGAGTCTGCTGTAATGGCATAGTGGTCCGTCTGAGTGTGACAGAGCAGATTTTGTTGGGATTCTGAAGATTTAGTGTGAAAGTATGGATCATCCGTGCTGCTGTTGCCAGTGTTTGTGGAAAAGGCTCCTGGCTCACAGGATTTCATCTTTACTCCTCCAGCTGAACTGCTTAGCAGACGTCGATTTAACACACCATCAGCTGAATCAAGGAGGAGCTGGGCCTCAGATTTAGGATTTTACTTCTGTCTGGGTTTGAAAACTGGGTCGGTGCTCTTCTGTGTCTTTAATATGTATATGTGTGTGTGTGTGTGTGTGTGTGTGTGTGTGTGTGTGTGTGTGTGTGTGTGTGTGTGTGTGTGTGTGTACGGTATCACACAGCACATGTACTGACAG